ATCGTTCCTTCAATTCACAAGTAAACTACTCGTCTGAACACCTTGTACGTATGAAGCAACGAAATTTGCCGATAGTTACATACAGATTCACGATCGCTTTTCTTAAGTATTAGCATATCCTGAATTCTTTTTAGTGCATTAGAGTTTTACTGAAACTTAAGCCCCAAAAAAAATCAAGCGCTGATTGCTTTGCAAAGTTTTTGCCTTGGGTTTAAAACGCTTCTATCGAAAGACTAGCTACCTACGCTAATTTTCTCCGCTTCTTGATGCTTATTGCTTTTTCATCTTTATGTACGGCTGTATAAACTGCGCAGAATGGCTGATTATAAATTTAGATTTTCGATGCTAATAACTTGATAAAAAAGTGTGACGTAAAACTCCTTGCAAACAGGTTCCTTCAGTCGTCGGTATGTTGCCCTCCAGCTGATTTTGTAAATGAGTACTACCGGAATGATTTGACGCGTTTTAATTTCTTTACTTAATTTCTGCAGTGCTGCTTCTTTAAAATTATTTTGTCACAAGTTACACTTTCTTTTATTTCTCTTCACAGAAGTTTGCAAAGAATCCTATGTTCTAAGCCACAGAGAATACAAGCCCAAAGAACACATCAGTTTCGCAAAAAGCAAAAATTTAAGCTAACATTTAAAAAAACGTGAAAACACGTTTTATCTTCTTTCTGTCATTGAGTTAGTGGCATAATGATTAGATTCATTTCCAGCTTCAGTCAGAACAGGAACTGAATGCATGAGCAGCAGCAAGAGCTGCAGCTACAGGTGCAGCAGCACTGTCTGCTGGACAAGGATGAGGAGTTGGATGAAAGGTGGATCAGCCGAAAGTTATCCGATGCTTGCAACTGTTCCGATTTGCGTGATTTCAATATACTAATCAATCTGCACTGTGAAGCGTTTCCATTCAGCCATGAAACGCATGTGCAAATTTTTTACATAACTATTTTTACTGCTATCATTGTCCTCGCCGTATGCGGTAACTTCACCGTCATATGGTATGACTTATCTTCAACTTGGTAGAAAATAAGCAGTTCGTTTTAAAGAGCTCTGTGTGGTGCTCAAAAAAAATACTGAATTATTAATGGTTTTCGGTAAAGCCAAAGTTTTTTGGTCCATTAATTTATTTATAGAGTTGTATTTCCAATTCAGCAAGTCATGAATAAAATAATTCATGAAATCCAACCAAACCGAATATCTTGTCGCAAAAGAATGAACTTAGGCAATTCAGTACAGCTCAGGATGGATAATTCTGCAGCTCCTAGCCAGCCGAAACAGCATGACGCTACATCATTCCGACCAAGTGTGGAGGATAAAAACCATTGTCTAGCAAAAGGCTGACAAGTGAACTGGTGAATCAGTCCGGCGTAGGAAACGCAAAATTCGCATGTAAGTCAGGCAAAAAAATTTGCAGGCAAGTTGAAGCTCAGCGTTTAAAAATGTCTTAGCGCTTTGGTTTCATCCTAACTAGTCTACGACAAGTCAATAGCTGAAGAGATCCATGCGGTTTTAACGCGTAGCAGTGCCGCAGTGGAACTGATTGATGATTTTGTTAATGTGCCTGCAAATTTTGGCGCAGCCGATTTTGCCCTTCTTGTAAATTTAATGTTAACCGATTATATGCATGCAAAAGTTGCAAGTCTCCATACGTTTTAAGCCGTAGTGCGGTGCAAAACGTGCATTATCGAGAACCTGCCTGTTTGTGTATGCATGTGTGTGCGTCCGGATTGCGTCCAGAGTTTTCAATTCAACTACCAGAAAAGCTAAGGAACTGAAATTTTAGGAGAATGTTTACTGCCCATGTGCTAACGCGCAAATTAGCGGAAAATTTTCTAACGCAGAAAGCCGGAGAAGTGGAAAACTGAGTCTGTCAACACGCTACCCTGAAAATTTAAATCCAGTCTGTGCATATGGCAAAGTCTCATATACGGGAATGTAAAAGTTTTAAAAGAAGCTCAAAAACCGGAGAACACATTAACGATTTTTGCATACATCAAACTGTAAAACAGCGAACATTTTTAGCAACATGCGCTCATAGAACGGAACTTCGCAAAACGTAATCGCCCAGGCCACCGTAGTATGTGCCTGCTTTATTTACTCATCTGTTACATTCGGATGATCGATCGGTTCATTTGCTTATCGGTTTTCCAGTGCTTCCCCATTAATTTTTGGCCTTTATCTGCAGGAGGAGGTGTTTTAGTAGATGATTGCGTGAGGGTTTCGAAAGTTGTCACCCGTTACTGAGCCAAACGACTGCCACTAAAACTGAAACGTAACAAAAATTATTTGAAAGAGTAGTAAACGTAAAACACTGCTTTTTTCAAAAGAAACCGAAAATTTGTTGTTTAAGGCCTAACTGGCAAGTATGGCTCAGTGGTAAGCCGCGCCACTTCCGCGCTAAACGTCGAGAGTTGAGTTGGTCCAGTGAAGACAGTCAGTCCGCCTACGATTTGTTCATTTGTTTTGATACTGAATTTTTGCGGTGAACCGCTATCAGATTACTTTTAAGCAGCCCCTGAAAGAGAGCCAGTCAGCAGCCTTGCTTGGAGGTCGTTGATATTTGGATTATCTCCGAATGCCTCCGTCATTCAAAGAGTGAATTTTATTTATTCGGTGCCCTCTTTATGACTGATTCAAGAAAAAAGTATTATGATAAGATCATGTTTCTGTTGCCGACTTCTGATTCGCTTCGATGGCAGTTTGATACTGGCATGTGCTAGGAAATCAAAACCGTCTTTAACTTGACGTAAAAGCAATCGTAGCTTAGGATTGGTTGTTGTTGACGAAGTACTGTTGTTCGAGTGACATTTCCAACCTCTCATGTATAGTGGAATATGGATCAGGATTTGATTTTGACTAAGAAAGCTGGAAAGTCGAATTTTAGAAAACGGTCCTCATTTCTCTGCAAGGCTTTATGCCAGAAATTAAAATAGATTTTATTCTATTCTGGTTTATGAATTCAAACCCAAATTCTACTGATTTCTTAATCCGAAAATGAACAAAATTGCAAAACAAAAATTAAGAGAAGTTTTTATTACCAAAGTCATACTGAATATCTAAAATGTGCTTCCAAACGCCGCTGAAACTTATCTTGTGCATTCAAATCGAAGTCTAAACTAGTTTCGTAATAAAATCCACATTCTTTCAAAACATAATGCGTCGTGAATAACTTGAAATAATATTTCAAAACATGCTGTGTCCTGATTGCAGGCCAAATACCAGATCAGTTTGTCATAAGTGCCACATTTTGAGGTTTTTACCCACCGCGTAATGTAAATTTGATGACTTGCAACTGGCTTTAAAGCTTTGCTTGCGGCCAGTCATAGGGCCTCAGATTCAATTCCAAATCAATGTCACAGCCAAAGGATTAAAAAGCTACGCACTTGAAACTTAATGAGAGAAAAAAGCGGGAGTCTGCTCCACAATACACGGAGATATGAATGAAGAAAAAAAGCATTCGTGCTGGAATTTTCAGAAGTTTCGCTCAACGATAAGTTCGGGGGAGTTGCGATGATGCGGGAGAGAAGGAGAGAATGATTTAAATCGTTTTCCAAGCTCTGTTGTGCCTGCAGTTTCAAGTTCAAATTGAGGTCAGTTGTAGAATATTAGGGCCAGGTAAAATTTTAGGCCCACGGAGTATCAAAAACAGCCCGATGAAGCATTACTTTTCAATAAGACTGTGCACTTGACAGTGCAAGTGAGGAATCAACTTTCCGCTATTCTAAATCCGGCTATTTAAATTCACTTCCAAATTTAAACTATTATTACTCAATCATTGGCGACGTGCACCAGACGGGCCCGTGCGATCATGCATTTTTGCAGTATTTCGTGCGGTAGCAAGATCGTTTGGGATCCCGGTAACTAGAGTCTGTAACATACTAGTTCTCGAGTTACTGGGAGTTAACTGTGCAACTACATGTTACTTGAACGGGGAATATTCCACTGAAATTTCAACTTTCCAACTATTCTGATTCCTGAGTTAGCAATTTTTTCGTCAAAAACATTCATGAGCTCGTATGTGAGAACTATGCACGCATGTGGGCTAGATTGAAATCTTCGATTTCTACGTACGGAGGGACATCCCCTTAAAATTCAGTTTTCTAGCTTTTCTGGTTCAATAGTAAGCAATTTTCCCGCCGAAACTTCAACGCGCTCGTACGCGGGTCCCAAACGTGCATGAGGGTTGGTACCGTGGTCCTGGGGTAGCACTTGGCCAAGAAACCCGCTGGCAAAACTTTAGCGCCAGAGCTTGCTTGGCTGCCGAGTTGAAATACCTGGACAAACACACACACATACACACACATGCACAGTAACATGCACACACGCGCACACCATGAGTCGCCACAATACGCAAAAATATGCAAAAACGCATAAAAGCCGGAAGAGCTACACAATAACGCTTTTGTCGCTTTGTACTCAAAACAGCCACTACTTTTTGACCGATTTATCAATGATGTAGCCGATAAGCATGCCAATTTCTTTCTTCCTATTTAACGCTTTGGCGATCCTCTCAATCGTTTCGTCTCCTGGAGGAATTACCAACAGAAACGCTTTAGCAACAACTTTAACCACTTGAAATTCAACAGACAGTATTGAGAGTCATCATCTTGTCCCCACTTGTTATCATTTGCAAACGATGTTGAGGCATCTTGCATCTGGGAATTAACCTTATAATATAGGATAAATTACCCAAATCCGTTTTCACATTCTTGATGTGCTTAACTGTCACAGCCATGCGCATTTTTAGAACAAAACTTCAAAATGAACCATGCCGCAACTCCAGAGTCTTGTTGCTTTTTATGATAATTAGGCCAAGAAAAAAGATAGCAAATTAAACCTGCGCGCCTTCATATATTCATCCACTATTTGTCTGTACTGCCCTAGAGCTAAAATGCGCAGACATACCAGTTCACGAGTGCGTACCACTACTTTTATTTGAAAACAACACTTGCACCTTCTTTCCTCTTTCTGCGCCAATGGCTACGCAACCGATTTCAGGATAATACTATGGCATAAACGTATGCGCACTGTGACAAACTATTATTTGTTAAATTTGGCGATCTCAGATGCTACTATATCAATATTCAATACCGGGTTCTCGTGGACATATAATTTTTATTATATATGGATTTTTGGCCCAACGTATTGCGCATTCAACAATCTTATGGGTATTGCGCCAATATGCGCCAGTGTCTTCACAATGATTGCGATGAGCATCGATAGGTTTCACTTTATCTAGTGCACTTATTTGCATTGTTAGGTTATCACAAAAATAGTGCACGAATTCGATTGCTTAAGGACGACACAGCTAGACTAGTGCATAGCAAACTGTGTTACGAACTGTTTTTAGCTACGCATCATTTCAAAGCTAGTTTAGCGATTCTTCGTTTTTTGTAACTGATTTTTGAGATAACAGCGTCTATTAGTTTCTTGAGTACAAAACGTAGGAAGCCCAAACGAAATTTTCAATAAAACTACTTTTACAATATCAGACTTGGCTGCAAAGTTCGAGCTGAGGAAATTCTTAGCAAATGCACAATGCAGTCGCAGTTTCGCTGCGGTGAATCTGGACTTGAAAAAAAGAAGGTCAACGAGGAGCGTTAAGCTGCCAGCAACCAGCAGAGAACAGCAATCAAAACTAATGCTATTAGAAGAAAAACTTATAATTTTTAAAATTTATCATTCTAATAATTCCTGTGATTCTTATAATCTGCAAAAAAAA